GAAAAGTTTTTGCCAGTTTTTTGCCAAAATTAAATATTCTTTCATGAAGCATCAAGCAGTTTATAGTAGCATCTAACAAAATACAAAATTATTAATTTTATGCAATTTGCCATCAAATAATGCTACGGTAGGCTGAAAAAACTATGTTCTGATGTAATATCAATAGATCAGTGATGCAGAATTATTTTAACAATTGTACAAATATATAGATTTTTATTACAGATACAGTTAGTTGATTGACAAATTCCAGGACCAACAGCTGATAACCGTGCTTTTTTTTTTTTTTCTTCTGAAGATTGGGAGAAAGAAGTCAGAAGTGATCCTCTGTCCCAACATCTTTTTCTTCAGAAATCATTTCAAATAAAAACTGAACAAATATGAAAACAACAGCAACAATAACTATTATTTCATTTGCTTATGTATATTCAGCAATGATATGCTGATTAAGATGAGTAGAAATGTTATTTTAAGATTGAAAACGTTTAATAACAATCGTATTGCCTCTTCTCCCCTTTACCTTTCGCAAAAAAAACGAGCTGCTAATTTGAGGAAAAAAGTTTTAACAGATTTTGTTATCTAAAATTCTACCAAAATTTTATAGCATTCTGACAATTTTTCTTTTACACAAACCAATTCCATGCAGTATATTATCTTATAATCAGTGCAGTTTCAAGCAGGTTTTATCACAAAAAAAAATAGATGCATAATATTTGAAGCATTTTTTGGCATAAAAAATTTTGAGAGATTTTAATAAAATTTATTAATAAAAACTGTAAAAAGTGATATTCAAAAAGAGCGTTGCTGATAGTTTAAGTAATATTCACAAATTGCTTTAACCAATTTCTTCGAGAAATGGTTTTGTGAAATATGCAGGAGGAAATGCGTAAAACCGAGTTGACGCTTGGAGTCGTTTCCTCTTTTTGTCGTCGTTGCTGTCTTCTTCGTCGTCTTCTTCTTCTTCTTCTGTTTCGTCTTCTTCCTTCTTCCCCCTCCCTCCTTTTTTTTTTCACCCTCAATTTGAAATTAATAAATAAAAAAATTTTTCTTTTGAACCTACTTATTTTTTTTTTTTGTTTCAGGTTTATAAAAGCTCTATGACGATTGATATGGAAGACGATGGCGAAAAAAGACAATGAATTTTTGTTGTTGAATCATGCAATGCTTGCAACAATATTAGAAAAAAAATATATATATATATATGAAATTGAAATTAAACCTTAGTAGCCAGCAGCAGCCTTTATAAATTCAATAATATAGCATATTTAGAGGAAAATGAATCTATTTTTTTCAACTATGGCAATCTTGTTACGATGGCAAACAAGTAAAAAAAAAAAGAAGCAAAATAAATAAATAAAATAAAACGAAATATAAAAAAAAAAATTATGTGTGGTAAAATAATAAGGCGCTCAATAAAGTAGATGTGCTTTGTCAGTTTTTTTTTTTTTTTTGCTTCTGATATTTGAAGAAAAGAATTTTGTTTTTACTAAGCTTAATTTGCACTTTTTTTTTTTGAAGAAATGAAATAATAAAAGAAGAAAAAAAAAATTTTCTTTCCTTGTATAGTT